TTTATAGAAGACCTAGTGGGTAAGGATACGAGGCTGAAGGTAGTTTCCAGTTCCCAATCTACAGAGCTTGGTTTCTTATTTGTAAATCCAAGCACAAATAGTCATGATGCTGAAAAGCTCTGCATCCCAAAGGAAGATTTATAAGATTAGGCATGGGATAGAACAGGTAGAGAAAGAAGTACTTTTCTCCCTTTCTCATAATACAAGAACTCATGGGCACTCAATGAAATTGCTGAGCAGTCAGGTTAAAACGGATAAAAGGAAGTACTTCTTCAGCCAAAGAGTGATTAACACATGGAATTCACTGCCACAGGAGGTGTTGGTGGCTACAAGCATGGATGGCTTCAAGAGGGGATTAGATAAACATATGGAGCAGAGGTCCATTGGTAGCTATTAGCCACAAGGTATAGATAGGAACTCTCAATCTGGGGCAAGTGATGCTCTGTATTCTTGGTGCTTGAGGGGGGCAACAGTGGGAGGGTTTCTAATGTCCTGGCCCCACTGTTTTACCTCCTGATGGCACCTGGTATTTTTGGCCACTGTGTGACAGAGTGTTAGACAGGATGGGCCAATGGCCTGATTCAACATTGGCTTCTCTTATGTTCTTATGAAGCATTGTGCGATTATGCCTTACAAGGTACCTGATCCAAAGTTTGGTTTTAGTACTAACTGTTAAAAAAAAAAGTGCTCCAAAGAAAAATTAAGATTAAGATACTGGGGGTAGCTGCACCCAAACATATGCTTTGCACCACGCTGAAACATACAACAGCAGACTTTGGGGACTGTACTATAAAAGGTGCCATGCTGTGTAAAGCCTGGTTTGGGCACCAAAAGTTTCCATTTGAGTTGCCCCCAGGAAACCTGTATGACTCAGATTGTGCTGAATAAGGAACTGGGGCAACTCTCTTCCACACCCCCAAGAAGAGTTTTGGTAAATCCAAACTGTGCATGTCCTGACTGGGAAACTGTGCCCTCTGAAGTGATATATGCTGGTCTAAAACCTGGTTCTGGCACCAACATCTTTGAAGTGGGCCACACCACTGAATTCCTTACGATGTGCTGAATGAAGAACTACAGCAGCTGCATCTCACCCCAAGTCATACTCCTCCCAGATTCTGAGGACCTGAGTCTGGAGAACCACAGATTCCACTTGAGACATGAGCTGTGCCTAGATTACTATGGAAATCAGGTTCCATTTTTCAGCTGTATAACTGAGGAAGCATGCTTTGAAACGTCTGGCATACCTAGGAAGGATGTCTTTGGCTGCAGAAGTTTCTTTGTGCTATGGGACATCCTCTGCCTTGTTTGTGGACTTTGAGATCTTTTGGACACTATTCTATTGAAAGGATATAGAGGAGTCTCCTGTTGGATTCTTTTTCTACTATATACCTTCTCTTGTTAAGTGTTTGTATTGCAACTTGTGCTTTTGAATTGCAACCACCAATTCTACTTTATCCATTGATTCACTATAATTATGTTGCAATAGACTGATGTCTACTGGTAACTTGTGAAATTTGTGCATTTTTTGATGGTCTGCTCTTGCGGTTTGTATTTCTGTTTACTACTGACCTATGACAGAGAGCTAGGGTCCTCCTGTCAGACTTTAAGCTCTTCCTTCTGCTCAGCCCCTTTGATGAGGTCAGAGAAGACAATATACTGCTGTAAAGATAATTATTTAAAAAAACCGTTTATGTTGAATTCAGTTCTTTTAAGGGCACATGGTAGAGGTTGCTAACTTTACTTTAGCAAATTCCTGAAGATTTGGGGGCCCTGCCTGGGGAGGACAGAATTTGGGAAGGGGGACTGTAATATTCTACATTCTAATTTTCCTCACTCGTGTGTTCCTGTTGCTTTGGGGGGGGGGGGTGTGTGTGTGTTCCTGTTCCCACACACGTTTTGCACCCTCCAGTGGTCATTTTGATATTGCATTGCTTTATGCCCTGCATTGCTCCCTGCGGGGTTAAACTGCAGGTTTTAATGCTGGACATAAAGCAATCTAATATTGAATTGACCACTAGAGTGACAGGACCCCCCCCCAAAGCAACAGGAACACACAAACAATGAACATAAGAATGTAGAAAGCCCTAGGACTTCAATTTCTCCTAGACTGTACAGTACATCATAGTCTGACCTCCAAACCTGTCATTTCATCCAGGGGAAGCGATGGTGCTCTAGTGCAAAGTTCAGTTTAGTGTAGTGGTTAAGAGCGATGGACTCTAACCTGGAGAGCCAGGTTTGATTCCACAGTCCTCCACATGCAGCCAGCTGGGTGACCTTGGGTCAGTCCAAGTTCTCTCAGAGCTGTTCTCTCAAGAGCAGTCCTTGAAAGAGCTCTCTCAGCCCCACCTACCTCACAGGGTGTCTGTTGTGGAGAGAGGAAGGGAAGGGGATTGTAAGCTGCTCTGAGACTCCAAGTGAAGGGCAGGGTATAAATCCAATATCTTCTTTTAATCCCAGAAGAACCTTGAGATTGGTAACCCTACCACGGGAGCTTCAATTGTGTTCGTATTCAGAAGCATTCCTGTAGTGCAGGGATCCCCCATGTAGTGTTCATGGGCACTGTGTTACCCTTTCCTGGCACCCACCAAGTGCTTTTTAGAAAGCAGGGATGGCCAGGTAGGGCTTCTGCCCAGCAAGGCTTCTAATTGTCCACTGAAGATCTGATCGACTGTACAGATTTTTTAAAATGTTACTTTGGCAGCAGCTGCCACCACAATACAAGGATCTCGTAACCCCGGGCCCTAAAGAGGCCAGGCTTGCTGCCACAAGGGCTAGGTCTTTTTCGGTGGCGGCTCCATACTGGTGGAATGAGCTCCCGGAGGAGATCAGGGCCCTGCGGGACCTATTACAGTTCCGCAGGGCCTGCAAGACGGAGCTCTTCCGCCAGGCTTTCGAATAGGAGCCGCTGCCGTCACCACCACCACCAACCGGGGCCTGCAAAGCAGTACCGCTGGATTAGGCTGATCGGCCATTGAACATCAGGGCCATAGCATCCTCCCTGTTTGACTCAAAGGGGATGTGCAATAGGAGCGACTGTGTCAGTTGCGCTGGATCCTTATGCATTGCCCACTGTATTTAATTGTTTTAAAATGTTTTAATTGTATTTTATTGCACTGTTGTGCCTTGATCCTGGAACTATGGTGTATTGCACCTGTATACTGTAAGCCGCCCTGAGCCCGCATGCGGGGAGGGCGGGGTATAAATGAAATTAAATAAATAAATAATAAATCTTTACTGTGTATCTGAAGGTAAGCTGTGGTGGCCATTTTGTGGCCGTTCCCAACATGCAGTGCCAGCATCTGAAAGGCTCCCACAGGTTCAAAAAGGCTGGGCCCCCATGCTGTCGTGTTAGCCCTCCTACTTTGCCATACTAGGAACTGCTGAAATCCCACCCTTTACCAAGATATGGGTTGCCAGCTCCCAGTTGGGAAATTCCTGGATGTTGGGGGATAGATCCTCAGGAGGGTGTAGTTTGGGGGAGTAAGGGACATCAGTGGGGTATAATGCCAGACCAAAAAAGCCTCCAAAGCATCCATTTCCCCCAGGGGGACTGATCTCTGGGAGATCTCCTAGCCGGAGGTTGTCAAGAACAGCTTAACTTTCCATTTCCATTTCAGTTTGGTCCTTGCTAGCAGCCAGTCCAGTTCCAGATTTCGTCAATGTACCTTTGTGGTTACAATAACATTACCTGTTGGTTAGGTAACTTCTGTGTGGCCTGCATGACACCTAATACACAAGAAAGGTAGATGACAATATGCGAAAATCATTACAAGATGGAATGGATTCTCATTCTGCTCCCGAAAGTCTTGACAGTTCCCAGAATAAACTCATTCCAGTCTGTCCAAACTCTGGCGTGGACCCAGGAAATTGGATCCTGGAACGGGCTCCCAAATGGAGGCTGGACTGGGCCATGTAGATGACCAGTAAAACGTTAGCGTAACTTGAACACATCCATTGGCTACCCTAAATTTTAACGTTGCCTGCTGTTTTTTTAATTTATCGCTAACAAATTACAACGTGCAAATAAAATCTCATCTTCCAAGCCATTAAAACTGACACACAAACCCATCATTTAAGCGTTGAAACCAGAGCTTAATACATAGAAGGGGAGGGAGCTCCGTGGAGATGTGACACTGTGGAGTCCGCTCTCTGAGGCTGCCATTTTCTCCAGAGGACCCAGTTTCTGCAGTCCGGAGATCAGCGGCAATTCTGAGAGAACCCCCAGGACCCACCTGGATGTCAGCAACCCTAGGCTGCTTCCAGACATGCTCATCATATGGTGTGAAACCTATTCTGCTTTGTTTCCTTTTTACCCCACCCTCACTTGTTCCAAGGAGCTCGGGGTAGCCTAAGAACATAAGAACATAAGAGAAGCCAATGTTGGATCAGGCCAATGGCCCATCCAGTCCAACACTCTGTGTCACACAGTGGCCATAAATACCAGGTGCCATCAGGAGGTCCGCCAGTGGTTCTCTCCCTTTCTCCATTTTATCCTTGCAACAAGCTCTGGAATAAGTAATAAATGAGAATCTTTTCCTCCCATAAATTAATCACAGTCTGTTCCATATCCCTGTATGATTTGGGGCAAAACTTCCTGCTCGGAGGCTGACGCGGGTTCTGGCACCTTTCCTTCCAACGTCTAACCACAGCACTGGCACAGAGTCATTTGAGAGTGAAGGGAGAGGTGAGACTTATCAAACTCTGCTTATACCCACACACCCAATTTCAAGGTGTGCCCACGGAAAGAGCATGTCTAAGTGAAACTGGGATGTTTGTCTGCAAGAGGGTACATCAGATTAAACAAATGAGTGTGTCAAGTGTGGTGGTGTGGTGGGCGGGGGTTAATTTCTTTCTTAGACTTTACTGCCCCTTGCTCTGCGTCTCTGTGTGTGGGTTTGCTGGCTGCAAGCCAGGAGCCCAGAGTCTTGTTTGGGCTTGAAGAGGAGGAGCAATGGGGAGCGTGGGAAGGCAAGAGAGCTGAGATCACTTCCCTGGTATGTTTGGAGACCGGCACAAGGACTGGGAGGGTCTGTTGCAGAGCAAAGGCTGCACATGAATCCGAAGGGTACTTGTCTGGGGATGGACTGGATACCAGCTGCACCTTAGATCTCATCCCTCTGGGTGCCCAGCCAGCCTAGGGCCCTCACCACCACCACCACCACCGCAGTGAACACAAGAATATTGGCCAAAAGGACCTTTGCTAATACAACAGCTCTAAATTCTGCTGGATGGTGAGTGCATAATGTGCCCGATGTACTTGTCTAACATGCCCTGTCTCTGTTTTCATATGTCAGACCAAAGTCAGAAGCAGGCTTCTGAAGAAAGCTGCTTGTGTTTTTGTTAGCTGTGTCATTGTGGTCCAGTTCTGCGCCTGCGGCCATTGTAACTGAATTGCTTGTACACCCACCCACCCCCGGCCATGATGAAGTAATTAAACAAATACCAGATTCAGCGCATGGCAGCAAGGGTGCATGAACAACTGGCCATAGGTAGGGAGTTGAGCGGCCACCAGTTGCAGTTTCTGTTGCTGCTAGTGTGCTAACTGGTTTCTAATTTTGGCACAGACTCTCCAAAAATACTGGTGTTTTTACACTGAAGTTTGAAATAATGAAAATTTGGCCTGTGTGAGTATTTGGGGTGGGGTGGGGTTTGCCTTACTGAAGAGAGAAGAGAAAATGCTGGTATCAGTGCTTGAGAAGGGGTCCATAATTTATTTATTTGCTTCCTTTATAGACCATTCTTCTCCCCACGGGGGACCCAAAGTGGGTTAAACATTCTCCCTGTCTCCGTTGCATCCTCACAACAACCCTGTGAGGTAGGTTAGGCTGAGAGTGTATGACTGTCCAAGGTCACCAAGCGAGCCTCCATGGCAGAGAGTTGATTCAACCTGGGTCTCCCCTCATCCTAGTCCACCCTGACTACTAAGTCTAACTCAGCTAGCCAGCCCAGACTTCCTCACCCCTGTCCCCAGGATTTCCTACACAATTTCACAGCCCTCATCACTGCAAAGGCAGGTTTTAAAAAACCCTCTCCTACTTTACCAATGACTCTGTGTTTTCCAAATAAATGGGACTTCACACATTCATGGATAATAGGTCCAGCAATGACTATGGGCCATGATGGCTAAATGGAGCCTCCATGTTCAGAGGTGGTATACCCAGGGCTATTTTTGGGCAGGAACGCACAGGAACGGAGTTCCGGCTGGCTTCACAGTTGGCCACGGCCACTACAGCCAAAACCTCTGCATGCGTGGCTACAGCGGGAAGGCCTGGAGAGCAAACCTCCCCCCCCAGTGACTCCGAGGTGGGTGGGCCGGGGGGGGGGGCCTAGAAGGATCGCGGAGGCATTTAAATGCCTCCCCGTGCCTTCCCCGGCCTGTCCAAGGGCCGGCTTGCCTGGGCGCCCCCCCGCCGCGGGGCGCCCCGGCGACAAGGGAAGGCATGGGGGTGTGGCCTAATATGCTAACAAGCTGCACTGTCAAGGTGTGGCCTATTATGCTAATGAGTTCCTGCTGGGCTTTTTCTACAAAAAAAGCCCTGGGTATACCTCATTTCTTGGTATGAAGGCTACTCATTTAGGCAATGAGTAGAAGCCTAGGCCTCTCTGTTCTGCTTAGTGGGGCATCTGTTGGCCATGATAAGAAACAGGATGCTAGATTAGACAGGCCACTGGCACTTTGCATTTCATGAAAGTTCTTAGAGCAAAAATGCAATAGCAGGGAATGAGATCTGAATAACCTGCTACAGATATTTCACTGCAGCATTGTGGCAGAGAACCAGTGCTTTTTGGGTGCTGGAATCCAGAACTAATATGGTGAAGCATGCCAGTCACTCGACCCACCAGAGCTGTCAGCTGTTTGCTCTTTAGTGCTCTTGTAGAAGGAACTTGCCTTTTGGGAGACATCCATGTTTTGGTTTCACCTGACAAATGCTGGAGAGTACACAGGATGGGTAGAGGAAGGCAATAGCAAACCACTTCTGTTAGTCTCTTGCCCTGAAAACAGGGTTGCTAACCTCCAGGTGGGGCCTGCAGATCTCCTGGCATTGCAACTGATCTCCAGACAACAGGGATCAGGTCCCCTGGAGAAAGTGACTGCTTTGAAGGGTGGACTCCATGGCATTGTACCTCAAACCTTGTCCTCCCCAAGGCTCCACCCCCAACTCTCCAGGAGTTTCCCAACCCAGAGCTGGTACCCCTACTTGAAAATTCCATAGCAGCTGTGACTTGACAGCACTTAAACACACAGAGGACAGGACAGCTCCCCCCAGGCGACACACCTCCTGCAACAAAGTACAATTAAAAATAATAGTTTCCTATTTACAGAAAGGAACAATATTTTACTAGGTCCTGGTTGTGAGTCAACATTCAACAGGTGCCTGGCTGCAGGCTTCCTGTCTGAATAAATATTAAGCAAAAAGGGAGGGAGTGGTGAGAGGAAACAACCCCTTGCTGGAAAAGAAAGGTTTGGGGCTCAGGTCCTGTTAATTCTTAAAGACCTCATTCTTCTTTCACCGTCATCACTTCTTGAATGCTTTTTGCCTTGTGGAGACTATGGGGGTGGGGAGATGGCTGGAAGCTGGGAAAAGAATGGCCATTCATGCTGATGATAAATAACACCTTTTCTTTTGAGCCCTGGCTGATGTGGATATTTGTGTAAACTCATGGAAGCTTCCACTCTAACATGCTGAGCACCCATAAAACAGTCACCAGCCCAAACTTTGCTAGGAGACAAGCCCCCATAGTCCCTTTTGTTAAATGACTGGGTCTCTTCTGCTGGCTTTGGAGCAAGGGTCTCCCAGAGATTCACCTAGCTGCTTTCTTTATCTCAGACTGTTGAACAGCACACAGCTCATCAGTAGCTACTTCAGGCCCAGACATGGTGAGTTAAGCACTTTGGAGGAGGTTTAACAAGTTCGCTGGCCTATTAGCCTGACTCCATTAAATTTTGAGAAATGCTTTAAAAATGGTAGCTCTGAAGTCTGTTCTGGTTAAGGGCAATAAATATAGGCTCATCAAGAAAACTTTCACATCCACACAAGCTAAACCTAACCAGGTTCCACAACTGGGGAATGTTGAAGAGAATTAGAATTAAAATACGAAGGTTTGCAACCTAATGGAAGTATATAGTTTTTGGAGAAAGAAATAAAGGGAGGCACTGGCAGGGAGGGAGGAAGGAAGGAAGGAAGGATGGAACAGTCAGCAGGATTCCTGTGATAAAAATTAACTCACAAACCAGTCCTAAATAAAAGACAATTAATGCAAATCTTGATGGTAGTTCTAGAGGGATAGCCATGTCAGTCTGTAGCATCAAAAGAAAACAGGAAGCCAGTAGGGTTAATAAAGGCTAACAAAATTTATTCCAGCATAAACTTTCATGAGACAGAAAGCATGACCTCAGATATATAAAGTGAGCTCTGACTCACAAAAGCCAACGCTGGAGTAAATTTTGTTAGTCTTTAAGGTACCCACAGACTTCTGTAATATGCAGTAAACCACCCCCGCCTTCACCTTCTACACAATGCTCAGATATTTTGGCTCAGATATACTTCACCCCTGCAATTTAAAAATACTACTTCCCAAGAGGAAGACATTCTACTTCAGAGCAAAGAAGGGGACAGAGGCACATACGACTGTTGGGCAGATGGAGTTAATGGGGAACCTTAAGGATGCAGAGACTCCACTTATACTGCATCCACACATTATTGCATATTGCGCTGGAGCAGTCATTTGCAACTGGATTGGCTTGCCCACACAGGAAAATCCATTTGCAAATATTGCTATAGCTGAACAAGAATGTAATATCCAGTGATGTGCAAATGCACATCATTGCACTGAACACGTACTGTAACCTTTCCCCATTTGTGCCCCAGAGAGCACTACGCTCTGGGGCCCAACAACATCTATCTATCCCGGGCCCCAAGGAGGCGAGACTTGCCGTTACCAGGGCCAGGGCATTTTTGGTGGTGGCTCCTTACTGGTGGAACGAGCTCCCGGATGAGATCAGGGCCCTGTAGGACCTCTCACAGTTCCGCAGGGCCTGCAAGACGGAGCTCTTCCGCCAGGCTTTCAAATAGGAGCCGCCACCACAGTTACCATCAATCCGGAATATCGGACTGGCCTGCTCTGAGCCTCACTGGCGAACATCTGGACCGTGGGACTGATTTTAAGATCTGAAGACAGAAGGAATGCAGATACAACACCATTCATCTTAAGGTTACTCTGCTGTAGCGAGCACTTTATTATTAAGATTGTTTTTTAAGGGATTTTAAGATTTTTATTGTTTTATTTGTATCGGCCTGTCGGCCACCTCCTATAAACCGCCCAAAGCCTGTTCACAGGGTGGGTGGGGTATAAATGTAAATATAAAATAAATAAATAAATAAAACCAAAGTGAAAGACTGAAAGAGATTGATGCCTTGCAGGGCTCAGAAGATGACGAGACAAAGTGGTCCGTGGCTCAGTGGACAGTGTTGGAGGTGTGTGCCTGGCTGGACAGCAGAGCCTTGGGGGCTCATGGGGCCCCCCTGCTGGAGGCAGCAAGCAACCACGCCATCTCTGGCAAGGCACTGCTGCGGCTGACAGAAGAGAAGATGAAGCGCATGGGGATAGTGCCACAGAGCCTACGTCAGCTGCTGCTGCGTGAAGTCCTCTGTCTCCGCATTCAGCAGGAAATGGAAGACTTGCTGGTCATTACAGATGGTGAGGGTCTCCCCTATTGGGTTCAAACTGTGCAAACACTGAACACATTTGTTAAACTGGTTTGGAAGCAAGGACATGCCTGATTTGAAAGGGGTGTGTGTTTGGAAAATCCAAGCCCTGCCACAGTTTTTTAATTTAGATATGTAGACCCCTCTTTGCTCTCCAATGGGGATCAAAAGTGGTTCACATCATTCCCCCCTCCCCCATTTTATTCTAACAAATATCCTGTATGGTAGACAGGGTGAGAGTGTTACTGGCCAAAGAACATCAGTGATTTTCTGTGGCGGAGTGCAGATTCAACCCTGGGTCTCCCACATCCACATCTGGCACCTCCAGCTACATACCGCTCTGGCAATCATGACCAAGCCAACAAAGCTGTAGAGCAGAGCAAGGAAGGGGCAGGGAGGATACTGTAGATCAAGGGTTCACGACACAGTGCCTGTGGGGGCCATAGCACCTGCCAACACCTTTCCTGGTGCCCGCCAAGTGCTTTAAGAAAGTGGGTGGAGCCCTGGTGTGGGTGTTTTTTTTGCCCAACAAGGCTTCTGATTGGCTGTGTGGATTTTTAAGAGCATTGCTTTGGCTGCAGCTGCCACCACAGCACAGGGATCTTCATTATGTGAGTGAATGTAAGCTGAGGCAGCCATTTTGTGGCTGGGTCTGCCTGTTGTGGCAGCCATTTTGTGCCTGTGCCCATCGTGCTGCACCAGAATTCAAAGATGCTCTCAGGCTTAAAGAGGTTATAGGTACAGTGACCCATAATTATCTGAGAAAACAAGCAACAAGGAGACGGAAGAAGGGAGAGAGGGAAGTGACAGGATCCCGCTGCTGATCCCAGAGGCATGGGCCAGTTCTAATTCCACTCGAGCAGCTGCTTGGGACAGCACAAGCCAGACAATCCTGATACACCACAGGGGCTGGGCTCATGCCCAGCCACCAGGGGCCCAGGAGTGTCCTAAACGTGTGTGCCATTCCCAACCTAGGCTTCAAAGGCTTGGCACAGAGCCCAGCCATGACAGCCCAGGCCCCTGTGGCGATGAGTACACCATTGCTGAGAGTGACAAAATACCTCAAACTGGCTCTGACAGGGGTTCTCACTTCTGCTGACAGGGCTCCAAACTGGAAGAGTACGGAATGAACCAAGAGTGAGGCCCTTTTCATGTGACCTAAAGAATGCCCAGCGATGCTTTTGTCCTGTGCTGGTGGCAGAATAAAGAGAGCAGTACATTTCTACTGTAAGAAAAGCAAACAACCCCCACCACCACCCAAACCCAAGGAACATCCCTCAAAGGTGTCCAGAAATTATGCTTGAGGGTATTAGTTATCGTTAGCTCTTTTTAGGGACCTTCCATTTTGCAGGTGACAGCTAATGTGGCATCAGCAGGAGAGAATAAAACCTGTGCTTGTCACTCAAATTAACCAAAAGCAGCCCTAAGGGCCCGCCTTCTTCAAAACCAGCATGTTCTTGAAGGCACCCTCCAAACAGAACACTAGACAACTTGTCAAGCCAGTTTGTGCTCTTGCCCAATTCCCAGAACTTTCAGACAGGGCTTCTTCCCCACCCTTCACCATTTGCTTAATCTTTTGCTTGTAAAAACCCGGTCTCCGCCTATGTGTGGTAGAATTGGCTATGCCGTTTCAGACTGCAGGGGGAGATTCATGCATTTCATACTCCTTTTTGCAATACACCCCCCCCCCCAAATTGGCTCAGAGTGCAAGGTTTTAGCCTAACTGTATGCTGTGCTAGTTTTCCATGTACAATGGATTATTAATGGAAGAGGAGTTCGAAGGAAACATAATCGACCACCAGTCATCTGAAATGGTACATGCCATTCTACCATCTCACCACTCTGCCTCCTCAGTATCCTATATATGTCTACACCAGGCCAAAGCTCCATACTCAAATGGGGCTGCTGCCAGTTTCCACTGGCTGGTGATGCCACCCTTGGTTCCACCTCCCACACATCCATTTATTTTAGCTGCTCCTCACCATCCTCTGCCAGGGTAGGATTTCAGCAAGGTGGAGTTCTTTATTATTTTACTTTCTTTTCACAGGGAGTGACTCAAAACAGTCTGCAGCTGAATGAGCAGCATTGGAGAGAGCAGGCAGTTCAGCTTATGAGGTGCCAAGTTGTGGATCCAAGCATCGATGCCATGCAAGGGATTAAAGACTATTGGGGGGTGGGGGGTGGAAGCTGCTGGACTTCAGACCTCATCTAACAATGCCTCCATTACCAAGAAACAGGGATTTTCTCAAGGAAGGGTTCTCTTGCATTGTTTGAGGAAGCTATACCTCATGCTGCTACATAAAATGGGTTTTGATGACTTGAAAATATATGCCATTCCTGTTCGAGCTTTCAAGCATCTATAGGATTTCTGTGGGTAGGGTAATCTCTCAGTGGTTTTTGAGACAATTGATCAAGGTATCATCCTTCTAGACCACATTTCCAAGCTAGGATTGGGAGCCGTCATTTGGCAGTGATAGTTTTCAAAAGGTAGTGCTGGTACTCCTTGCATTTTGCCTCTGTTGTAAGAGTTAGTTTCTAGCCCTTCCCATTGCAGAGATGAGGGGCTCAAAAAGGCTAAAAACAGACTTATGAGAATAAAGACTTCAGAATCATCCAGGCCAACACTCTTGTGTCACACAGTGGCCAAAACCCAGGTGCCATCAGGAGGTCCATGTTGCCCCTCAAGCATCAAGAATACAGAGCATCACTGCCCCAGACATAGTGCTCCATCTATACCTTGTGGCTAATAGTCACTGATGGACCTCTGCTCCATATATTTATCCAATCCTCTCTTGAAGCTGTCTATGCTTGTAGCCACCACCACTTCCTGCAACATGTGTTAACTACTCTTTGGGTGAAGAAGTACTTCCTTTTATCTGTTCTAAGTCTACTGCTCATTAATTTAATGAAGCGCCCACAAACTATTGTATTGTGAGAAAAGTAGAAAAGTACTTCTTTCTCTACGCCATGCATAATTTTGTAAACCTCTATGTCACCCTTCAATCGTCATTTCTCCGAACTAAAAAGCTCTAACTTCTTTAACCATCTGTTGATGGGCGGCTGGATGGATGCTATCGCAGCAAATTTGGCTGAGGGGCTGGAGGCCGTGGTGAGATGGTTGAAAAAGAGCCCGCTGAGACTGAATCCTACCAAGATGGAGGTTCTGTGGCTGGGAGGGGACTCGGGTTTGGGGTGACAACGTCCGGCTCTTGACGGTGTGCCCTTAAGACCAGCACAAATGGTCAAGAGCCTGGGTGTGATCTTGGATGTCCCCTTATCAATGGAGGTCCAGATCACAAATGTTGCCAGACTGCCATTTTTCCAGTTGCACCAGGTCAGGCAAGTGGCTTGCTGCCTGTCTCACCCTGATCTACCCACAGTAACCCACGCACCAGTCACCTCCAGATTAGACTACTGTAACTTGCTTTACATAGGGCTACCCTTGAGACTGACCCAAAAACTCCAACTGGTCCAGAATGTGGAGGTGCAGGTCCTTACGGGGACCACCGTGAACAGTACATATTCAACCTGTGCTGGGTGAGCTGCACTGGCTCTGGGTGGAGTACCGGATCAGGTTCAAGGTTTTGGTATTGACCTTTAAGGCCCTTAATGGTCTAGGACCCAGGTACACCCCCTGAAGAGCACTATGCTCAGCAGATAAAAACTTACTGGTGGTCCCCAGCCTGAGAGATATCCGGATGTCCTCTACCAGAGCCAGAGCTTTCTCCACCCTGGCGGAACTCTCTGCCAAGTAACATCCATCCCCTGTGGGACATAATGCAGTTCCGCAGGGCCTGTAAGGTAAGAGATGTTCCACCAGGCGCTTGCTTGAGGACAATGACGGTTTCCATATGGCTGGCACTCCTTTATCTTGCCCCCCCCCCTCCGAGGCAGTGGCACAACTGGCTGTTTTAGTGCCATCCAATTAATTACTGTACTTTATTGTTTTTAAGCTATGAATTTAATGTATAACTGTTGTTTTTATTGTTGTACATCACCCTGAGCCCTGTTTTACAGGGGAGGGCAGTCTAGAAACCGAATAACAACAACGAACAGCCAGTTTTTAAATCTACTAGAGGACTTAATAAATGGTAGCAATAGATTATGATCAGGGGTCGTTTCGTAGAAAAAGAGCTAGGGGAACTCATTAGCATAACTCATTAGCATATACCACACCCCCTGACATCACCGGAAGTGTGTCATAAGGCCACACCCCTTGACATCACCGGAAGTGTGTCATAAGGCCACACACCCCACCCCCAATGGTCCCGGCCGCCACTGCCGGCCTTGCAGCTCCACTGCCGAGCCCCATGAGGGGCCCGGCGGTGGACCTGCAAGGCCGGCAGGAGTGCAAGGAAGCCCCGCAAAGGCCCTCCCTGGCCCCAGGCAGGCAGGGGTGGGGAGAGGCAGGGAGGAAGCAACTTACCCTCCCTCTTCTCCTGCCTCCTCCTGGCTGAATGAGGGCCGGAAGCGGGGCGGCCGGAAGCAGGGGGCGGGGCTTCATCATGTGCACCGCCCCCCCGTACCTCACCCGAGGGAACTGCGATCCCCCGCAATCTCCCCCGAAATGACCTCTGATTATGTTACTGCGCTGTAGTGATCTACCAATTGCCAATTAATAAAGTTCTCCTGTGGAGTGTGGGGGAGTGTGTGGCTGCCATAAGGGCCAGAGCAAGGGGAAACATGGGCAGGATGTTCAAAAATGCACCTCTTCCTGTCCATACAGTCTCTGCCAGGGTGCTTTCACTGTGGTCTTTCAAAAAAAAAAATGTATCAGCCCAGGTCTGGCAAAGATTGCAAAGCAGGAAAAATCCAGTGGACAATTTTAGAGGATGATATTGTGATGATGGTCCCCCCCTCCCTGCCCAAGTCCAGTTTGGATGCCAGGTGAGAGCAAAACCTCCACGTGGAAGAAACTGTAAGGTCTACTGAGGTCCCCAAATCATTTTAAAACCATGCTGTGAAGGAAAGTACTGAGAGCTACTTCAACTGAAATGAAATAATCTAGAATATTTTAATGCAGTCTTAACCTAGATAGCCCAGGCTAGCCTGATCTCATCAAATCGCAGAAACTAAGCTGGGTCAGCCCTGGTTAGTACTTCAATGGGAGACCACCAAGACGTCCAGGGTCATGACGCAGAGGTGGGCAATGGCTAACGACCTCTGCTACCTCTTGCCTTGAATACCCTTGCAGGGTCACCATAACTTGATGGCACTTTCCACTTCCACATGTGTATTTCTCTAATCTTTTCGGTTTGCACCTGGACATGGCTGCATTTAAATGGAGGGGAAAATCCAGTCATCATTTACACTACTGTATATTGTACTGCATAAGGATATTTACTGGAACACTTTCATAAGGTTTGTGCTTTTACTGCTAAGCATGTGCAATTGCTAATCTAGATTAAATTCCTTGAAGAAACAGCTACAGGGCTCAGAGGTCACTGCTGTGTTAGAGCTGCCTGTTAGGGCAGGAGATGGTGCATGATATAAAATCCTTTGTTCTAAGTAGAGGCTCACAGCCAAAAAGCTATTTGGGTCACTTGAAATCACTGCACTATTCAGCTGCACTCCTTGTTCACCCAACACATTTCAAGGAGGACTCAAGTGGCATCATATAAATCCTCTAAAAAACAAGTTGAAAGAGCCTACATATACATTCCCTATCACCCAAGACCTTTTCAAACTGCCTTTGTATTCTGTTTTAGTAACGGGTTGCTAATAGATTTTTTTGTATCATTTCAGCTGCTAGTGGAATTTATTTACCTGTTCATACAAACCTGCTTGAGTCGGTTTAGCAAAACGTGGTTGAGCTGCTTTTGAGTGAAACTGCTTTCTTCCATTTTCTACCCCTTCCTTCACTGTGTTTCTGAATCACTGTTGTGTGCTGCTTAAAAAGTCCATAGCGCTTCCTACAATGCCACTGCCCCCCCCCGCCCTTTTTCGCCGTGTGATCTTCCTCGGACTTCTTCTGCAGTGTTCTATTGTGAGCGCTATAGCACTCACATTAGAATGTTAACAACAGTCAGAGGAAGATCGTGCAGCAAATAAGGGTTGGGTGGGTGGGAGTGGCACTGTTTGAAATTACCATAGTGCTTCAGAGACGGAAGGAAATTCACTGTATGAAACCCTCGTCCCTGTATCGTTTTACTTGAAATCGAGCCAACAACAAATAACATCCAGTTTAGAACAATAATGTGAAAAGGGCTCTAGACTCCTAGATACTCCGCCGTTTCTTGACAGTCTCTCTCCATCCTCCTCCAGCTGTACAGGAACACCTATTCCACTGGCTTTAACCCTCAAACGAGTAGCTTTAAGAATTCAACAAAAACACCTTCAGAGGCCAGAAGAGAGATATTTAAAAAGCTTGGAAAATTTTTTATTGTAGTTTATTTTCATAGTAAGGTTTTTTTTAATACAATAAATATTCACCATTAATAGCATTTCATAGATCAGAATTCAAGTCCATTGTAAGACAGTCAAACCTCCCAATAATGCATGTATAAGACAGGTATGACTCCTGACAAAGTGTGGAGGGCGGGGAGACACCCCCCCCCAACCCCCACTGTGACAGTGTACACTTCCTATAGCAATTTTCTTCTCCTAATAATAATTATCTGTACAACCAGTTTGCATCGATGCAGCCAGTCCTGGTCAAAGCCTGGCGGATTGAAGCCATTGCAAAATACAAATTAGAGAATCCGTTGCCTTAAAACTGCGGTAAGCCCTTCAAGGCAGAGAAGTACCAAAGACCAAGGCATCACTTGAAGGGCCAAATTCTAAAATGGGACAGTTTTTACATTCCCCCCCTTGTCTCGTTCCAAGTATTCTCAGTTGGAGAATGAGTCCATCTTTCAGGCAACGATCTGCAAACAAGCTTTTTTTAAAAAGCCAAGATCAAGGAAAGACCCTCTTTCCACAAAAAATAAAAAAGGGAAATCCAGAATTTACGGGCAACTCATTTGTGAGTGAGCTGGCACCTGCTTCCTGATGGGGCTTACTCTGAATGCAAGCAAGGTAAGGTCCCTTTCCTGTGCAGAGAAAAGATCTTCCTGTACTCCCCTTTCCCAACCAGGAAATATCAGCAATGAACCCTTTTCAGCCTGGCAACTCTCCTGTGTCTGAAGAGGCAACATCTGTGGCCCTTGCGAGAGCATGGAGAGCCTCTTTCCCATTATATATATACAGCTTTAGAGGGAGGCCTAATGTAGCCTTTTGCTACAGAGGCAAAGCCAAAGCCCGAAATGCCTGCATTTTCAGATGGGCCTCCTGTAGAGAACATGCCTCCTGTCCCAGAACAATAGGTAGAGAAGCTGGTGCTAAACCTAGGGAAATCGCACAAATCTATACCTTAGGATTGCTTTGCAAAGCACAAGTGACTTGCATACACTCACTGGAGTAAGTCGACTCTCAGCGTTGCTCAGCACTCTGCTATGAGATCCAGTCCAGAAATAGCCAGAAAGTCCTCTTGATGCACAGACCAGCTGAAATAATTAGGGCCCACTCCACAAATGAGTGCACCCCTAGAAGCTGGTACCAATACAGAAGCAACCAGGTTTGTAGGCCTCAGCTGACTGAGTTTTGCTAGCCATTCCTTATCCAGTTCCAGTCTGTTTTACTCTTACCTCCATGTCAGAAGTTGAAATTGCCTTCTACAGAAACTTTCTGGACTCAGCCGGGCCTCTCTCTTATCTGCAAGGATTGGTTGAGCATCTATGCATCTATGCAAGCTTCACTGGAGTGCAATCCTGGACCCAGCTCTGACTCCATAGCTTGAATCCTACAGGATGCCCCTGCAGCAGGTCTCTGCCCGGAGACCACTCTACTGAAGAGCTGTTTGAGGAGGGACCTTGAGAGTCAAAGCAGCTCTGGGGGGGAGGGGTGTCCTGGGGGGACAGTGAGTGAAGCCACAAAAAGCAAAACCGGCAAGATGAAGCAATTGTTGCAAAGAGAACACCAGGTTGAGCAAAACGACTATTTCTGCCTCACTGACGGAGGAAAATGCCACTTACAGAGGGAATTCCAGGAAGCAGAGGAGACTCAGAACATCTGTTGGACTTTTGCAAATTCCTCTGGATGCAGGGGAGAGTGTGGCAGAATGCACGGTCACCCCCTGCAGTATACAATACCTTTATTTTAAGAATACTTACACACACACATACACACACACACAGAGGTGCTACAAACACTAGAGACAAATAAAATTGGTGCATTTGATTCCCATTAAATCTGCAATAATGCTTTCAATGTTACTACAATTAAGACAAAACCAGCACAAATTAAATTCACTCTCCGTATTTGCTTGGACAGCAAGTTTAATTTAAAAAAAAAAACCTGTGGGGGTTTTTTTTGTTTGTTTTTTAAGACAGTCGACTTCTTTCCTCAGCTTGAGGCAAGTCATTTAAGGCACCAAAGAAGCTCAGACAGATAGGAAAGCAGAACCAGGGACTGAGACAGAAGGATACAGACAAGAGCTCTGCCTTGGAATAAGCAAGTAACTTAAACACAGAAACATTGTCACGTGGAGGCTTCTCCTGGCGTATCAATGGGCATGGGCAACTGAGCCTGGGTAATGACAACTATGCTTCCAGGCAGTCACTGAAGGAATGATCTACTGCACAATATCATCAAGTCTGGGTTTTGCATGCAGGGGGTACACTCCCCCCTATTAAAACCTTCGGCTTCTGTGAAAAGTCAATCTTCCATCCAGAGGATTTGTACAAGGCAGCAGCCTCCAGAACACTACCATAGAACCCCCAGTTAGATAAGCCCTGCTTCAAAAGAAAGAGAAGGGGGACCAAATATTCCTGCAATGATTCATCACATAAATACACATGCACACACAAAAGCCATGCTCCTGCCCCGAATTGGCAGCCTCCAGACCTGGACAGTATGGCTCTGTAAGATTTTAAACTTTGTTCTACATTTTTCCCCCAAGGTGCAATTTACAACCTATTACTGTATTCGATTCCACCTGGTACAGCCATCAGCTGTTCAAGCACATCTGAATTCTCTCTGTACACTACTTTCCCTGTGCAAAGTCATCTAATGAAAATGGGGAAAATCCCCTTTCTCACATCTGTTCAACACTCACTTGAAAAGCAAGATCAGAATGTTTCGTCATTCATGCCCCCTCCCCCCTTACTCCTTTTTTTGCAAACTGTACCAGTAATTATCAGAATCTGCTCTTCCCTTGCACACTGAACATTACAAACAGGAGTTGTGATCAAACTTATTTTAAAAAAAATCTATATACAGAAAAAAGAAAAGGGAGCTAAGAACTGGTTCCTGGATTTTACATTGCTTACATCTTGTTTGACATAATGATTCAAGTTTACAAAAAAAAAAGTTAAATAGTAATTTCACAATTGAGTTGTTTTTTCCCCCTACAGAAATATATCTCACCCACAAGAAGGATATTCCAAGCTGGATTCTCCTTTCATTTCATAACATGAAACTTTTACCCTGCTGTAAATTACATATGAACATCCTCGGCTGCGCTCCGTTTCTTCCGGGTGCGGCCTTTCCAAGGAACTTGGGTTTAGGCTGCACTCTTCATACAAGCACATTTTTTTAAAAAAGTATTCTTCATTAAATAAACAGGAGAGAGAGAAAAAAAATCAGCACTTGAATCTTCATCACCACTTCGGTTTTAAACAGGATTAAGAAATGGTTGAACACAACATTGCCAGTTGGAGACACAGGAAAAAAAGCCACGTGGTTAGAGGGGTCTACTAAAGATGGGTTCCGGAATGAGTTTCTCTTTCGCATTTCCCCCATCCCCTCCCCCAAGAAAAGAGAACACAAATTAATCACCTCCTCTCCCCGTACCAGAACAACACAGTGCTAGGAAGGTCTGTGTACGTACACTTAATGTGCCTGACGAAAGAGCCTCCCAATTTCACAATATTGCAGTTGCGAGCGTACACATTATCACAAGAAAGTTAACGGCATAGACCACAAACAAAACAAAGCCCCTGCAGTAAACATCACGTAGGAGGATCTGACTATTTCGCCAAAGTCCCTCAGGCTCCACGTGTGTCTACTGGCACTTCGTGGGATGACCGCCTTTCGAGATACGTCTGAGTTTACTGCATTCTTCAGCATCAGTGTCTGCAGGGTCACAATGGAAGCAGGTGGATGGGAGAATGGTGTGTGTGTGTGTGTGTGTAGGGGGGACATTCTGCACATCAGTCATGCTTCAACCAAATGATTTCCATCAAGCCCCTTCCACAATGTATTTCCTACAAAAGCCCCTTGGCACGACTGAATCTGTGGAGAAGTCCACCACTTCATCCTTTGTTTACAAGAAGCCACACCCTTCACCGCAGCCCGTGGATGTTCTGTGGCAGCCCTGTGGCTCCTGAGCCACTGTTAGGGCCTTGTTTTTGTTTTGAGATGTCTCAAGAGCCCCGAGTGGCACGGCTCCTACGCCTGGACTTCAGGTTGCCTGGGGCACATTCTGCTGGTCTGACGCAGGCTCGTGACTGTGAAGTTTCTTCCCCCTCGTGTGGCATGATGGAGGGGACAGGGAAAGAATGGTCTCTACTGCCAGTCTCTCTCTCTCTCTCTCTCTCTCTCTCTCGAGCTCTCTGCCCCCTCCCCCATGACCTTCCAAACTGGGTCAATTTTAGTTCCATGGTGATGGCTGAAGTATATTTACACAGGGGGCTGAATTTACAGCCCCTCTGCAGACTGCAGGCTGACTTTCTCCTCTTCTGCTGCCTCCTCCATGTCTAGTCAATCGGAGTTGGGCTTCCGTAAAGAGAAGGGCCGGATGTTGAAATGCTTGCTCAGTTGGTTCACCTGTTGGGGAGAGAGCAAATGCAGAGGATTCATTAATCTGAAAGGGGGGGAAGACGCTCTGGGCTGGCTGCTGGGGGCCACGTACGTGAACACTGTGAAAATTAACTTACCACGCAGACTCCGTAGTGGATGTGCGCCAGGGTGATGATGATAGTGAGCAAGTAGAGGAGCAGACTTTCATATTGCGGTACTTGCCCCGACATGGTGACCAGGAGGACCAGGACGAGCGGCAGGAGCATCCAGTTGAGAGGCTGGCATCGGGTGCTGCTCATCTGGCAGACGATCAGCCGACACTGGAAGGGATGGAAGAGAAAGCATTAAAAGGTGATTCAGCACAATGTGGCACAAAAGTCGGGCTCACCATCAGGCACCGTGTTCATTGTGAATAAAGACAATGCTACCAGGGATGAAAATACCAAAGGAATCCAAATTCTATCAAGAAATTAAGGCAGGTTGATCTATATGCCTTGGCCTGTTTTGAATAACATTGCCACCAGCAATCCAGAGGGGCAAAAGCTCAGAAGGAGAATATGTGGTTTGCATGCAGAAGGTACCAAGATCAATCTCTGGCATCTCCTGGCCATCTCCAGATGTTGGAAAAGACCTCTCTCTGCCGAAGACTCTGCACCGCCACTGCCAGTCCAACAATGAACCAGGAGGTCTGCACTTGGAATCAGGCAGTTCCATACCTTCAATGGTATACTCAGGAAATCTGGGTTCTCTCTAATTATGGAAGTGCAGCCCTGACCTGGACGGCTCAGGCTGGCCCACTCTCATCAGCTCTCGGAAGCTAAGCAGGGTCGGCCCTGGTTAGTACCTGGATGGGAGACCACCAAGGAAGTCCAGGGCTGCGATGCAGAGGCAGACAGTGACATTAATCTCTTGCCTTGAAAACCCTACGGGGCCGCCAAAATTTAGCTGCGACTTGACCATCACTACAGAACTGCAAGACAGGCAAGACTGTGCAACAGCACTGATAGAACACTGATAGAACAGACCGAGATGGCTTTATGAGAGCCAGTTTGGTGTAGTGGTTAAGTGCGCGGACTCTAATCCGGGAGAACCGGGTTTGATTCCCCACTCCTCCACTTGCACCTGCTGATGTGACCTTGGGTCAGTCACAAGCTCTGGCACAGCTGTCCTTGAAAAAGAGCAGTTTGTGTCAGAGTTCTCTCAGCCCCACCCACCTCACAGGGTGTCTGTTGTGGAGAGGGGAAGGGAAAGGCGTTTGTAAGCCACTCTGAGACTCCAAGTGAAGGGCGGGGTATAAATCCAATCTCTTCTTCTTCTCTTCTTCTTATGTATCCAGCATCTTGTTTCCAAAAGAGACCGGATTCCTCCAGTGAGGTTACAAGCTGGGCATGAAGGCAAACAGTCTTCTCCCTTTGTTGGATCCCCATCAACTGCTACCCAGAGCAGTACTGCTTCTAAATACAGAGGTTCCACATAGCTATCATGGTTCATAACTGTCGTCGACAGACCTATCCTTCATACACTTGGCTACACTTCTCCCCTCTCCCTTTCTTAATGGAAGCATCACAGAGCTGGAAAACAGTAACCGCAGGAAAGGGTGGCTCAGTGGCAGAGCACCTCCTTTGCAAAGCAAGGGTCCCAGATTGAAACATGTCCATGAACAAATGAAACTTAAACTAAATCAAAGCAGTGGTCTATTAAGCGGTCTATTAAGGTCGATACCATCTCCTCAGACTGGCGGCAGATCTCCAGGATCTCAGGTTGTCTTTCATAACAGCTCCTACCTGATCATTCTAAGTGGAGATGCCGGGGATTGAACCTGGGACCTTCTGCGTGCCACGCAGATGCTCTGCTATTCAGCCACAGTGCGATCCTTCGTGTCTCCAGTTAAAAGGATTAGGTAGTGGGCAATACCTTTATCCAAGACGCTGGACCATTAGAGTAGACAATACCATCTTTGACAGATCCATGGTCTGATGGCAGAAATCGACTTCATCTGGAGAACCCAAACTACCGCTCACCAGAAGCCCTACTCAGCTCAGCCTTACTCAGCTCACTCTGGGAATCTGAGTTTCCACTGACTTCCACCCAAGCGTCCTGGATGTTGCTCCATAGCCTTAAAGGGTTGAAAATGGCTAATTCTCATCGCTAGAACAGAGGCTCATGCATGAATCCCCCAGACTTGTGGAATACATGCAAGCATGAGCAGGTGTCATTTTGGAGGCAAATGTGATCGCAATGTAGGAAATGCATAACTTGTGCGGGGTCCCTTTCATCACCTCTAGGCAGGGTGTTTTCATCCTAGAGTGCAGGCTTCCTTCCTTCTTGCCCCACAACTTGATTTGGACAATTAACCCAAGGCACTTGCCCTACATCGACGAACATTACTTGCCCCGTGTGTTGGTTTTAATGTGGGGTGGACTGAAAGGAGGGGATTTACCGAAATATTAGCAAACGCTGTCCCGAACATGAAGTAAAAGAGGCGAGGGTGGACCTCCAGGATGTCTGATGGTGACTGGAAGATCCAGACGGTGCACAAGACGAAGAGCAGCACCGGCGAGAGAAAAGGCAGCATCGCCTCGTAAAAGGAGTCATGCTTCAACGTTTTGTTTGAGTAGGCTCTAAAAAGCAGGAAGGGGTGGAAATAGGCATCATTAGTGAGGAGAATATTTAGCAGTAGCAAGAAGCAACAATTTGGGGAAATTTTAAAGACAGCTTTGGAAACGTCTCTAATCTTTTAAAAGACAGTTTGGAAATGCAGCATCTAGAGAAGACCAGAGGCCCTCGCTCAAACTCCCTACGTATTATCTAATAATGAGATGCCAGCTCTCGGAAGCAAAGCTGGCAAGGATGGAGAGTGGGGCCTTTCTAGTGGCAGCCCTCTGTTCAGTTGCCTTTGTTACCAATTTGCTTGTGGCTTTTAGAAAGATGGTGTTTTCGGGAGGCTTTTGGGAAAAGACAATTTACTTACCTGCCAATGGGAAGGCTATATATATATATATATA